ACTTCTAAGTCGATCATTTGTCGTTCCAAACACCGCGACAAATGCCTACAAACGTGCAATGCTGTTTCTGTGGACATTGAGCTTTTGAGCTGCCTCTCGTTGTTAACTTCGACTTCCAGCCTGGAGCATTCCCAAGGCACACCTACTATCATTTTATGACAGACCGGACATGTTTTAAAAGCTAAAGTCTCTCTCTCTCTCTCTCTCTCTCTCTCTCTCTCTCTCTCTCTCTCTCTCTCTCTCTCTCTCTCTCTCTCTCTCTCTCTCTCTCTCTCTCTCTCTCTCTCTCTCTCTCTGTCACCTCACACACTGCTTCAGGCTATGGACGAGGTCCAGCTACAATAGCCACGAAATAGCTGAACGTTGGATCACCACTTTGCTCAAATTATGCGTCATAATTTCACTCATTTTTGTGATATCCGCGTTATGGTGAATGTGCTATTGCAAGATAGAAATGGGAGGGACTGTATGATCAGATTGCAGGATGGAAAAAAACTTCAGAATTGCTTAAGCTCACAGCTTTTACAGATATATATCAAGGAACCTTGACCTCTAATTTGTTGTTTTTGTTATAGTTGTTATTGTTGTTGTTGTTGTTGTTGTTGTTGTTGTTGTTGTTGTTGTTGTTGTTGTTCTTCTTCTTCTTCTTCTTCTTCTTCTTCTTCTTCTTCTTCTTCTTCTTCTTCTTCTTCCTCTTCTTCTTCTTGTATTAGGGAAAGTGCTACTGAAATTGCTCTATTTTTACATGTGTCATTCTCCGTATACAGATACCTATCTGTCGTCAGTGTAATTGAAGGCAACAGAGAGAGTTTTCTAAGGATAGAATCATCATTCATGTGCCACCGAGTGGAGTATTATGTGAAGTTTGTTTTATTTTACACTACTGTTACGGATTTCGTAGTTGTCTCATAATTTTGTAAGATTTTTATGACTGAAAGTACAAAAGCTTCGACATTTTGGGACTAGATCTAATAGGGTTCAAATTTTGTATGATGTCTTTTCAACCATAATGCAGTATTTTATCAACGTCATATAAGCATGGTCT